ATAGCATTACTCGTACACCGGTATGGTCATGTGTTTTTATCGGTACAACCGGACTATAAAGGAGCAAAGAATAGGAAGAAAAGAGTAAGTTGTACAGTCATTAAACGCTTGGGTAGTCGAGGTAAATTAAGCATGGTAGTAATTGCATAAAAAATTACTGCGAAGCATATAGGTTACAGTTTATTGAAAGGTGGCTTCAAACATTAGAGCCTGTAGGATGTCTCACCAGTTTGTGTAGGGCCCATGGGATAGCATCTTGACAAAAATCTGAGCAGACTTATTGGAGCTAAAGGTATAAGCATTTATTTTTAAAAAATAGAGATCTAAACAATCATTGTATGCGCCACCCTCCCTCATTTTTGGTGTGAAACCATCAGACTGTTTTGCAATAGTTGTACGTGTAGAGGTGCAATGCTTTGACTCCATCCTAATCTTATAGTATTTTCCAAATGACTAGCTTGCATGACAAGTGCTTCCCACTAGGTCACCAAACGTGTAGATATTTTTTTTAATAATAATAATAATTTGCTTTATTCCAAAACAGTACTTGTGATACAGAATGGTATTCTCAGCGTTTTTACTACAGTATTGCATCCAGTTAGTACACTCAATAAATAGAATTCTACATAGATTGAGGAAACCACAGTTCATTATTACAACAATACATTGGCATGTTCAGTAGCAAAGGTAAAGCTGAAACAGTGTTTGAAGGTGTTAGAAAAGTGGGAGCTGTCTTATTAACTGGCGTAAGCGAAAGAAAGAGACAAAGCAGCACATAACGGAAAAAGAAGAGAGAGAAAAGGAACAGAAAGAAAGGAAATGTTGAACCTATTGATGAAGTGGGTTGGAAAGATGAGATCCAGTTGTACTAATGACTATTTAATGAATTATAGGTGTCACGCCTAATGCTTTCTTTATCACACAGAACGCGAGCTAAGTAGGGTATGGTTGAGTTTTTGTACTTGCTGGTGCGACGAAACTTTCAGAAGTATTGCCTCTATATATGCATACATGTGTATGAATAAGTTATTTCAAAAGACCAGGAGACTAAGATTCTTTCAAACTGCAGAGTATAAAATTATTCAGTACTGCAACAAACTAAGTCTATCAAGCAGAGTGAAATGAACAGTGGACTAATTAGTGATGAAGTTATGTAGAATGGTCGTGGGAGAAACAGCTGTTTAGCAGAACTTGTTATGCTGAATTTTCGCGACCACTTTTTATATGGTGGGCGTCAGACATTGCAAGGTGATCCATCAACATTTATTTCGCAAAATATACTACGAAATGTTTTATCATTATATATTTTGAAAAAACATGGATTGGTTGCAGGATTACATCATGAGCTGACATCGGTTAGAGAATCACTGGAAAACCATCACGGAGTAGTGGATAGTTGTTCCGTTAGCCTAGTTTGGGACTCTTCAGCAGTACACAGCCGCCGCCAGAACTCGAACCCAGGACCCTCTGGTAACAAGACCTTTAGGGCACTGGGACCCGATCCAGTCGCCAGCCAGCCCATATATTCCAGCTTCTGCCAATTCACGACATAGAGTGACCACTTGCCAATTTCCTTGGCGAGTATTTGTCCTCACACCCGACCTACTGCACCCTGGGATGCTCACTGGAGACTGGCTCTAGTCAGGTAGGTAGTTATATGGAGTTCTAGTGGGATGTGACGACCAGTAGGGTGGAGCAAGCCGGGTGTGATAAATGCTCGCCACCGGTGACATTGGCTAGTGGTGACGCCATGTTGTGAATTGGTGGAAGTCAGCTTTCATTGGTCGGCAAGTGGATCACATTTCAGTTACTGAATGGCCCACGAGCTCGCCTTGTAACCAGAAGGTCATGTGTTCAAACCCTGGCAATGGGTGCGTACTGCTTAAGAGTCCTAAACTAGACTGACAAAACAGCTGTCCAGTGCTTCATTATGGTTTTCCAATGGTTTTCTAACCAATTTCAGCACATGACGAAACCCTGTACCCAATCAATCAAATCCCTACAAACCAGTACTTGAAAATATATGAAAATGGGTAGCTACTGACTGAAGGTATTGATTTCTGCAGAAAATAGCAGTCTAGGGGGAACAGTAAGAATATTTTAACATATATACTATTATTATTATATGGGCATACCTGAGTACATAGGACAAGAGATTTATTCCAGTAGGAAAATGAAATTTTCGCGACCAAATATCACAAAACATAACGATACCAAACACATCTGTAAGGGATCACTTCATAGAACTTCAGCAGTTTCATTTTTAACAATAAATTTGCTTTTCTGTGCCGGTCAAATCGCATCGAAGGCGACTGGATTTTGAAAGGACTACCAAATTAGGTAAGTTAAGTGCAAGACTCAGGAGTGAGTGTGTCCAGAAAGCAGGTCTAACCGAATAGGTAGCGCACGAAAATCATGAGTGTTATTTTCAGTTGAAACAATTCGGAAAACGAGCTCATAGTCATTTAAGCGACTTAACTAACTGGCTTCCTAGGTGGTCGCCTGTAGTATAAATCTTCATTGTTTCGAAATCAGAAGACATCCATCGCTAATTCTGCAAACCAACAGAGAATAATGCTATGAAACAACAGGAAAGCAGGTCATTTTGAAATCACCAGCAGAATGGTGAAACATTTTGGAATAGTTATTGCTGACAAACATACGCGGTCACTTCAGCGTATAACATAGTAATATTCATTCTTTTTGTATGTCAACCAAAATTCTGAGAAAAAGAGCCAAAACTGTCTTCGCCTTTAGGATTTATTGTTTTACTTATGGAGATCAGCGTACTAGTTAAAACACACTGTTAAACAGAAATAACAGTGAAAAAGTTCCACTCCCATCCCTTCACACATCTCCACATGGGTGGCTGTGGAAGCTAGCTCAGCTAGTGTTTGGAAGCTGTAAACAGAGAAGACTAGAAGAACTCCGGAGGATTTATGTAAGCCCAGTACAGGCAATTAATAGATTTGACGAAACATAAGAAATCTATCAATTAGTTAAGAATAAGTGGCACGATCAAAATGTGGAAGAGCATGTTAGCAGACATATTAATACTGATACTCTTGAGTATATACATGCGAAATTTTATGTAGAAAATCAGCCACGGGTGATGAGTGATAGACTAACTTTAAGATCAAAATTTTAAGGCATTAGTGGCCTATTTACATTCAAAAATTATACTGCATTAAATCCACTGGCACTTCTTAGGTTACTGTCGCTGGTGTTAAAGTTTGGTGGCTCCATCTAGCAGAATTCGTATGACAGCGGATGCAAGGGTTTCAGTTTCCGCCTCCATTTCAGCTAAATTTAAACAACAATTATGCCTACGATTATATCGTGCACACTGCTTCAACTTATGAAAGTGAGATCAGTGTCATTCCATTGCCTTATCTTATATATGTCATATGTATTTGGATAACAGTGAAAATTTTTCCCCATGTATAAATTACTTCACATATTGCCTCTACTCAGAGTACCGAGGTGCCTGAAAGCCTCTGGGGAGTACCTGCCTGTCCGAACCTTATTAATGTAATGTTTTAGTGGGTGTCTCTGAGAAATCCAGGAGCATTATCTCGATAGAAAATTAGTTAAAAACTGACTGAGTTCACTTAAATCTGATGTTTTCATATGCTCGTTATGGCCTTAAGGTCTACTATATATTTATATGTCCTGAATATGAATGTTATGGGAAACGAACCGATAAGAATTCCTCCATTTTTCATTTTGCTCTTATATGGATGCGGACGAAGCGAATATCGGGCCTAATGCGAAGGCGTCTACACACCTGGGTAATTGCAAAAAGGGTTCATGTATTCTACTACAGGTTGTTCGCGAATAATATTAAAACTCATCCCTTGAGTTCCATCCCACATACATCGCTTTGGTAACACAACTGCACTCCACTCTGTCCTTCTCCGTAACTGACAAATAGTTTCAAAATTGTCTAATGTCTTTTATCTACGTCTCCATGTCGCCTTTATCAGCCTAGCTCATTACTGCTCATTCAGTTTCCATCCGAGAACCGCCTGGTGTGTGATGTCACCTTAATATTTTTCATGGCATCTGTCAGATACATCTCCACTTCTTTTCAAATATGCGCTCCAAGCAACGTCATTGTTCAGTTCGTTGTCAGAGTTGCTTGTCGTGTAACTTTCCGGCCAGCCAACTTATCTCCATTATGGGGCGACACAAATGCAGGCTGCTGGAAAAGCTTTAGGTGATGCACCAAGTCCCTAAGGATTGCAAAGGTGACGATCTGGTATAAATACCAAAAAATCCAGATCTTGTTCTTGATATTGAGCACTGTACGTGTCCACTCTGATTTTGATGTCATGCTTTTCCGATCCTAGTTGGCTCTGACATCTTCGTTGGTGCCATGTATATTTACAACAAAGCCTCAATGAACTCTTCGATGAGCTTTCTGCAGTGAATTACCTGGCATGTAACACCGTCGTAAATTTTTTGAGTGAGATCTACTGTTTGTGACACAGAATTTCGTAATGTGAAAAATAACACTATTGGTAACATTTCCGGGGCTTTTCGAAGTTGACGAATTTAAAGTATACAGTGGGTCGCTATTCAAAGTCCTTGTGAGTTCCTTAGTACTCGTTTGTTGAAGCGAACCCTTCTCAAACAATTTTTGAATTATTCTCTTACTTCGTCTCAGAATGAAGCTGTTATCATGCCTCAGAACTCTGTCAGTAAAAGATCATTCCCAGCGTTTAGTTTTGATGCGTCCGTGAGTCAGCTACCTTAGATAAAAATGTGCAGCTAATGATTTTCGGGTTGGGTGAAGGATTATACAAAACGCGTCTTTATATCTCGATACAGCGGTATTCATACTACAGTAGGATTAGTGCAAACATAACGAAGTTATATTAGAGGAACTGAATAGATGAAAACTGTGATTTGAGGTTATCTTTGGTGGTATTTTATAAAATTTATATAAGTTCTACTTGATCGCGGATATGTAACATTAGTCATTTAACATTGAATTTGTTTTATTGTGGTGTTTTCTGCAAACCGCAAATTGCGTGCGAATTCTACTAGCACATCATTTGTCACCGGCTATTGATTAAGACTGAATTATTTAGTATGGATGCATACATCGAGTCTTTCAATAATGCATTTAAACGGAGCATGGACAAAGCAGGTACCTCAGTGAACATAACATTTTATCATTCTAGATCCCCGAGTATCTTCGTTGTTCTTAATGGGTTCAATTAAAGGAATAATATTTGTTCTAATAGCCTACCTGCTGATGGTTCATTATGGGCTGAAGTATATGAAAGGCCGAAAGCCGTACAGTGTTACTCGTTTTGTTCTTCTTTATGACTTGCTTATGGTCGTTTCAAATGCCTACATTGTTTACGAATGCATTGCAGTTGCACTCAATGAAAGGTATTCACTCATGTGTCAAAAGATCGATTATAGCTCAAATGCAAATGCATTAAGGGTAGGTTTTGTAAATTTTTTCTTTGATCTGCGTTCAGTCATCGTAATATTTTATAAAATACCTCTGATATGGTTGTTCCACCATTCCTATTGTACATGTTGGGTTAATTATGGACAGATAGGGAGTTAGTAGCTACTCTGCTTGTCGGTGTTAGTTGATTAACTCTTGGAACTACCTAACTATATTGTTTGATTACGTTTCAGGTGCACGCACTCATGTTTTAGGTTTTATCATTCTTCATTTAGCTAAATTTATATGTTCTCATAATGCAAGTGACTTCGGTCTACTACTTTAACTCATTTGCCAGGATTTCCAGTAGTTGCAATGCTACCAGCTCAGAAGAGTCCTTGAGTCTGTAATTTTTTGCCTCAGTAATTCTATAGGTTTTGGTCCTATAAATAATCCCACTTAAGATTTCGCGTGTTCTTTCAAGTTAACGCTTTGAATTCTCTAAAATATGTTCTTATTATATGTTACGGTCACTAGTTCCATTAGAGCTTTTGTGTATTTCACTTTCCGATGCACTACTTATAATTCCTACTCAGTTGCTAGAGCATTTGACAGACTTGTCTTTACTAATTAACGATACGATGATTCACCCAAAATATGTTACTGTGCACTTTGTTCCTATAGACATCTACACATCAGCTTCCTTCCTCCTTTCGGTTTATGTAGCAGCATAACATAGTTAACCTTTCTTATTTTCTGAAATTTTATCTCCTACTACACAGTGGGTCACGCATTCGAGTCACACCCGGCCTATTCTAGCTTGCCTAACTAGGTAGGACCATCAGGTGTCATGTATCATCAGTTTGTAGCCTGTGACATAAAACACTTCTTGTAGGAATCGAGCCCAAACAATGATAAAAAAACTACAAATTTCACATATGTGCAACAAACAGTTATATTCTTTTTTACTGTAGTTACAACACTATCCTTGTGTTTTATCCACCACATATTTGGTTCTATAGGTATGTAATAAACTGAACAAACGATCTTGTCACCGTAAAATATCATCATGGTAGATAACGTCATTTCTCATGTTTAAGGATCGTAACGGATCAGATTAACCTTCTGTTTTACTAAAAGCGGAGAGTAGAGTTAAGTACCTCTTAGAATGGAGGTTTACTTGTTGGGCAATTATTACAATTGGAGTCGGAAGAAGGCACCATGAATGATGAACATGCATTTCGCTTTTTAAATAACGGGAACACGCAATGTGGATTATTCTTGAATTGTTGTTTCCTGATTGCGTTTCTTATCGATATGTGTTTTCCAATGAGCCACAGTCATTGTTAATATTACGTTTATTAAGGTGAATGACAGCATTTACACTTTTTAAAGTTCACTTTAAATTTACCAGTAATAATATCCTTTAAACAGCTTTTCAGTGTGTGCATAGTGACAGTTTTAATATGAAACTCTTACAGATGCTACTCACTGAATGAACGGTTGGTATAGTTTTATTGCACAATAGCACTTATGCTGATGAACTGTTTCTGAAACAAATGACACCACTGTCCATAATTATAGTTCGAATCACTAAATACAGTGGCAGGAATCCCTTTGCGCGACCAATATTGGAGGCATTGCAAAATTTCCAGGACTCGTTATTTATATTAAGACAAGATTCAGGTTAAGTAGAACACCAGCATAGTCAGCTAAGATTCATGCTACTAGTGCCATCTCGGAACTTTCCTTACTTTCTACTGTTTATCAGTCTATTGACATGCCACTTTGGGTGTTAGTTTAGCCTTTCTTGGTGCACCATACCTTCTTTGGTGTTGTTCAAGAGTTGATGCGATCAATTGGCTCAATAAACCACCGGATGGTCTAATATTTCAAAGCACTGGCAACAATGCTTCAGTATTCTTGTTTCTTCCACTGTCTAAAGTACCGTAGTGACCAATGCCCCTTTGAAGGATTTGTATAGGAATGCTTATCTATCCATCATACCGCTTTTTTTTCTATTTCATTCCCTTTTCTTCCCCTTTTTACACTATTCTATAAAGCATATTTCTTGATTCCCTCGAACTAAATTCATAAGTAGAAATTACAACATTGTATTCTAACTGCCTATTATTCAGCTTTTGGTATCAAGAGTATTTGGGTAACTGTTTTAATACTTATACATTTATTCTACGCAGGTACCAAAAGATTTTAAAACTTTTAGCTGAATTCTTTCATTTGATTAACAGCTCTATATATGCAAACTATGATGGTTATTAGGGTACTATGATATGATTATTAGCAATAAATTGTGCTTATAATTGACAGTGGTACGGTTGAAATGCTCAGTCCACTTTGATACTGTGGGTTTGTGTCTCTATGGAACTGTGGATGGGTGGTCATTTCTTCACGGCTATTCACAGCATGGAAGTTGACTTCATCTTGGAGTATTTGAAACGGAAACGGCATTGGTTTTGTGTGACTTCAAAGCCCAGAGGAAAACTGCTTGAGGCTGGTCAAACATGGCCTGTTTTAGACAGTTTTCGGAGTTGTGTTTGTATGAAAACCTTACTACAGAGTGCCTCTGGCCCCGAAGTTGCCTAGCAGCTTTCATTTCATTCATCTCACACTTAGATGGCAAAATCGTTTTTCATTTGTGTTACACTTGGCAACGTGACATGTCATTTGTCACTCAACGGTCTTCGTGGCATTTACTTAGTCCACCTTCATTTCTTTTTGCAAATTTGCTGGTCAATATGTTGTTACGTGGTTCATTGTCAGAGTTTCTTATCGCTTATCCTTTCGGACAAGTCATCTGATCTTGTGTACGTGATGAAGAGGTTAAGCATTGATAAAAGTGTGCAGTAGCTTAGTGCAAATGCCTTCTGTGACAAAGTCGTAAAGTCTTTGAGCCATATAGAAACACTGGCTCACTTGAAATTAGTGTTGAAGATGCAGATCTTGTTCTTCATTCCAGGATGGATTTCATCCTGATAAATAAAACTCCCTACACTCGGTTACATTAGATTTTAAGACTTTTATCTTATGGTTGTGTGTCACTGCATGTAGTGCTCTAGCTGAGTTATTTACTAGATTTCTAAATCTTGTTAAATTAAACTGATCTCAATTTTGCTAAGTTTTTATGTTCCAACTTGAAATAGTGGCGTGATATATTTACGCATAATAATTAATGGATTCACTGTTGTTGTGTTTTTTTCAATGACATAATTCATGAATAGTCTTTGAATGTAAATTTCACCCGCGTGCGCACTGGCACACACGCGCACACACACACACCGGCAGGCCTAAACTGGATTTTAGCAGTGTTAATAACCGGAAAAGGATTAGATAGTCTCAGTTGGTCAGTCTCTGTGGTTGTTATTATTTCTTAATCTTCCTCCCTTTTTCTTTTATATGCTTATTGTACTGCGTATTTGGAAAGTTGTATTGTGATTGTTATACAAGTGTAAGAGTAAGTAACGGCTTATTTGCGTAAAAAGGAAAGAAGATGGGAAGTTAAACACACTAGTGGTTACAGGAAACCCACACATTCAAACAGATATTTGGACTTCCGGTCATCCCATCCTATGTCAGTAAAAATAGGATTGGTGAAATGTTTAAATGACAGAGCACAAAAACTAAGTAGTACCAAGGAAAATCTAAGACATGAAGTGAGGCGTTTAAGAGAAGCTTTGAAACTTAATAATCACCCTGATAAATTATTCAGGTAGTATGTAGGGAAGTGTAAAAATGAAATAAATAATAATAGCAGTGATAGTGATAATAATAATAATATTAATGACGACATGCATGTAAAACATGTGCAAGATAATGACAACACCAACAATAAGGAATCTAAATCATCAGTAGTAATTCCATACGAGGAATGAACCTCGGAAACCTTACGCAGAATTCTTAACAAGGCAGGAATAAAAGTGACTGGCATTCAAACCCATAAACTCAATTAGAAACAAGCTTTGTCGGTTAGAGGATCAATCCTGTGGAGCCTTAAAAAAATATATAGCTTATGTAATACCCTGCAGTGATTGTCAGGTCAAACTAGTAGAACAGGGGCAGTCAGACTAGCTGAACATAAAAACTTAGCAAAATCTAGATTGGTTGACCCAAATAAGATAAGCAATCTAGAGAATAGTTCAGCTATACCACTCAATACATGCAATCACACACAACCATACAATAGGATGGGATAGGATCTAATGTAACCACGGGGTGGAGGGAGAGATTGATAACAGAAGCTTTGTTTATCGAATCAACTGCGATAGAATACATGTAATAGGAATGATTCAACACCTGTCCACCCAGATATCTGGAAAATCCTACGACCTCGCCTACGACGACAAATAGGAGAGAACAAAGAAAACTATAAAACTGAAGTTTCGAAGTCGTGTGATTATAATTGATGAGATGATTATGAACCGCAGTAAATTGTGTTCGAAACTGTGAGATACATCTAATAAACAAACTAATATATAATTACTTGGTACCACAGTGCCCAAGTTTTACACATATATTATTTTTTTTCTATGTCAAAAAATACAGGAGAGATAGATAGACAGACAGACAGATGTTTTCACAGTGAAATGAAACAATTTACTTTTGATGCTGTGATCGTTTTTTCTCTTTCTTCTACTTCTCCGCCTCCCCCTCCTTCTTTTTCTTCGCCTGTTCTCTTGTTGATTTATCTCCTTTTTTTGTATTGACATTGTGCTTAGACATTGTGTTTTAGCACCAAACAAGTAAAGATGTGTGTGCAGTATGTATGTGAAGTTTAATCTCTTATTCTATACACCGTCGTCTAGCTTAGATTAGACTACACTAGATCGATTTTTAAATCATCAGGTGTTTCCTTTGATCATATTATTGGTTGGTGGTGCTTGCTGGTTTAAGCATTCGATTTTCAGCTGAGCGGTCACTAGTTCGAGTCCCGCTTCACTTACTTTAGTCTGAGCAGATCGGTGGTATTGTCAGCCGTCACACAATCAGTGTGGCTCTTAGTCTGGTACATGAAAAATTCTGTTCTGGGTAATTGA